TCTCCCTCTTCTCTCCGTCTGCCCCAGCTCCCATTGCCTGTCTCCCTACTCTTTCCTCCTGCCCCTTCTCCCATTGGCTGTCTCCCTATTCTCTCCTCCTGCTCCGGCTGCCGTTGCCTGTCTCCCTATTTTCTCCCCCTTATTCCTTTTCCAGGTTGTGCCCAGCTAAAAGATGGCGGCCGGATGCTCGGGCCGATCCAGGTTAACGTGAACGTTGACTTCACGTTTGCTGTAAACGCAGGACTGGCAGATTCTTATTCGGGGCTTGATGCCTGTACTGGGTATTCATGAATGCTCTCCGCTTACCAGCTCCTCCTCTGTTTCGCTGTGCCCTAACCGCCCGGAAATCCAATTAACAAATCTGTTCCCTGGACCACATTGCGCCTGAGAGGTCCGAGCTGTCAAATTGCGCATGCTCCTCCTGCCTGAACTGGGGGAAGACCAGTCTGGAAATTGAGAGGGCGGATCTGGTCTTCCAACCAATCGGAGTGCATGAGTGGCAGGGCTGGTCCTGCAACCAATCGGAGTGAATGAGAAGGCGGGACATGACCTCCAACCAATCGGCGTGAATGAGAGGGCGGGAGCGGGACCTCCAACCAATCGGCGTGAATGACGGGGCTGAACTCGTCCTGCAACGATTCGGAGTGCATGAGTGGCGGGTTTGGTCCTCCAACCAACCAGCGTGAGTGAGAGTGCGGGACAGGTCCTCTAACCAATCAGAGTGAACGGAGGGTCGGGTTTGTTTCTTGCGCGGGAGATTCAGAAACTGCGGAAGGCGGCTCTCGGCCGCCACTGTGATGTTGGGTTCATAGGCAGAAGTTGCTGGAGAATCTCAGCAGGTCTGGCAGCATCTGTGCAGAGAAATCAGAGTTAACATTACGGGTCCGGTGACCCTCAGAACGCCGAACCCGAAACGTTAGTTCTGATTTCTCTCCACAGATGCTGCCAGACCTGCTGAGCTTTTCCAGCAACTTCTGTATTATGTTCCTGATATACAGCATCCGCAGTTCTTTCGGTTTTTAATGTTAAGTTCATGTCGCTCTACAGGTGACCCCACCACGATATATACTGTCAAGCACCCTCTCTCTCACACACACACGCACACAAATATATGGGGAGAATTATTTCATTAAAGATGTTTGCGTATTTGCAGATACATTCTATTTTGTTCAAAAAATACCCAGCCTGACTTCAGGCTAAAACTCAGACAGATTCTAAACAAGGCCTCACACGTAAAGTGTGTTGTCTGACCTTAAATATCATCTCTTGTGTATATTGATATAGCCATTAATTATCTTGGGGCAATGATTTGAAAAAAATATATAAAATTTGCATTTTAATCTATAGAAACCTGTGTCTCCTATCTAACTGATTAAAGACTCAACAGCAGGCAAGCAGCAGAACATTTTTTAGCGTTGTTAGCTTTCAACTGATAAATTCTGTCGGTATACCTCCTCTTTCACACTAAAACTGACAAAGGAACAGACCTATGTAAGCAAGTGTTTTCGAATAAACCTATTGGACTACAACCTGGTGTTGTGTGATTTTTGACCTTGTCCACCCCAGTCCAACACCGGCACCTCCACATCATGCCTGCCAACAGGAATAGAGATTAGCATCAGGGTCCAGAGAATGCCATCTGGGAGGGCTGGGGTTTTCACTCGGGTACTTCACAGCACAGAGTCTACTTGAGGCCCTGAAATAGAGCCACAGGAGCTGGGGACCTGAAGATTTCTGAGGAGTGGGAGGGAAAAACAGGGAGTGGAAAAAAGAAGTGGGGGTACAAAAGCAGGAAGTGCTGGAGAAAATCTGCAGGTTTGGCAGTATGTTTTTGCTGCCATACCTGCAGTGTTTCTCCAACAATTTCTGTTATTGTTTCAGAAATTCCTGCCTCCACAGTTCTTTTTTTTTGTTTGAAGAAATGAGGGAGATGGGTTTGGATTTCAGCTCAGGGAAGAGGGATAGAGTGTGAGACCAGGAATTACATTTTTGGGTATACAAAATAGGGACAAAATGCTCCACAAAAACTGGAATTTGTATCCTGGATTGACAATGATGTCTTCTGTAATCTCCCATTGCAGAGGATTCAAAGAGAGAATGGGGAACAGGAAACTCAAACCAAACATCTGGTCAATATCTAACATGACTATATCATCAGACTTTGAATGTGGAAGGACAACTGTTTGTTCTGTCAGTGGGAAAATATTTCAAACATTGCTGAGGCTGAGACACACACATACTTGACAGTATTCTAGGAAAGCATCTGTGGGAAGAATTGTATCCGGTCACACAGCCTGAAAAAAGAATCACCCCTTCCAGATGGAAGGACACCTTACACTTGTGGAAGACGCTTCAACAGATTGTGTAAAAGAGAGGGTCATAAGGTCATTAACCCCATGGCAAACTGTAGAAATGTGATGATTATGGTAAATGATTCTATTATCCATCCCAGTTGGAAACTCATTGGCATAGTACACTGGCAAGAGACCATTCACCTGCTTCATATGTGGGAATGTATTTATTAAGCCCCATTTTGTGCCATGTTATGCCAGTGAGTTCACACTGAAGAAGGCCCATTAAATGCATTAACTCTGGAAAGAAATGTAAGCAGCCATCCACCCTCATTGCACACCAGAGAATTCACGCTAGGGAGGGGCCACTCACTTGCTCTGTTTTTTTGAAGGCATTTCCTCATTCATCTGGCCTTTGGTCATACTATGGTGAGGCCATTCAGCTGTACGTCCTATGGGAAGAGCTTCAGGTAGTCATCTGAACTTAACATACACCAGCGCATCCACACTGGGGAGAGGCAATTTATTCACTCTGTGTTGGAGAAATGATTTACTTAGTCATCCACTTGCATAGCCCAACTGCAGGTTCAAACTAAGGAGAGGCCGTTAAACTGCACATCCTATAGGAAGGCGTTCAGGCGCCCAGCAAACCTCAAAGCATACAAGCAGGTGTACGCTGAGGAGAAACTCTGTTGGAAAGGATTCACTCATTCATCCAGCCTTCTGAAATACCAGGGAATTCATACTGAGGGTAAACCATTCACTTGCTCTGTGTGTGTGTAAGTGTGTGTGTGTGTGTGTGTGTGGCACACGTCTGAACTCCAGTCGCGGGGGGGCGGTGGGTGGAGAGGGATTCCCTTGGTCTGACAGCCTGCATTGACACAAACACACTTTCACAGGTGAGAAGTCATTCATATGCTCAGCGTGTGAGTGAAGGGGTACATTCAGTGACACCACCCACTGACACATCAGCAAGGTCATTGAGTAACTGTGCTGTTAGATTCCACTGTTACTGCTGCTGTTAATCACATAACAAATTGATAATCTGATGATAACCTGATTTTTACCAATGTTGCCAACCCAATTAATTAGTTGGAGGACAGGATCCCTTGATCGAAGACGTACGAAAGCTGGTACAAACACAGTCTTATGCATGGGTGTGATTTTAAAGGTCCTGTATTGTGTCTTGATTTGCATACAAATCGGCTTGCCAATAGACGCCAAAACGGTACCTGTTTCCAAACCATGGATTGCATGTACAATATTCTGGAAATGTGACTTTTTAAAAGCTCTGTCTGTGATCCTTCCTCCAATTCAAGAGCGTCTCTGTTTGCTGCCCTGGGATGAGCTTCATCCTTCACAGCAAATGATGCAGTATCGCAAGCATAGCAGCTAGTGGCCATCCATCCCAACTTCACTGCCCTGTGCCCAGAGCCCACTAAACTTTTCCTCATTGTGTTAAATTCCATATCACATTTGAAAATGACTGTATAATCTGTTTCCATCTACCATTTAGTTTGTTCCATATTCTCAGAATTGTTGTCAAATATTCTCCACATCTTCACCCTGCATCATTTTCCAATTTTCCGAAAGTTACATTCTGTAGTGCTGTTGAAGGAGCCTTGATGAATTACTATTGTTGAGCTTATAAATAGTACACATTGCACTTCAATGGTGAAGGCAGTGGATTTTGAAGCTAATGGGAGTTTTGTCAGTCAGACAGACCGTGTTTCACTGGATGGTGTTGTGCTTCTGTGTGTTTTGGAGCTGTACTCATCCAGGCATGTTGGCAGTATTCCACTACACTCCTGATTTGTGCTTTGCAGCTGACTTGGGCTCGAGGCCATTTACATCAGCAGAAACAGACACCAATTGTTGAGCTCCAAATATGACACAATTGTTATGTTTCACACACACACACACACACACAGATCCTTTGGTCCAACTCGACCATGCCGACCAATATCCCGAAATGAACTAGTCCCATTTGCCTACATTTGGCTCATATTCCTCCAAACCTTTCCTATACACGTACCTGTCCAGATGTCTTTTTTCTTTTAAATGTTGTAACCGTACTAGCATCTGCCACTTCCTCTGGCAGTTCATTCCACACGTGAACCACCATCTGAGTGAAAAGATTTGCCCCACAGCTTCCTTTAAAATCTTAAAAATCTAGTTTTGAACTCCCCTACCTGAAGGAAACTACCTTTGCTATTCACCTTATCTATGACCCCCTCCAAGATTTTATCAGCCTCTGTAAAATCACCCCACCACCCCCCCAACCTCCTTCACAGCACTCAATGCACAGTAAGTGTCAGCTGAACTCCCTACTGGATTGCTACATTCCAATTCACTGACAGCAGTCCACTACTATTTATACTTCAACAGTGACTTTTAAGCAAATAGCACTCCAGTCGTCAGTTTGCTGTCACAAGGTGTGCTTGAATATAGATTCTTAAATTTCTCCTTCCAAATAATTTTGGATTCTCTTGCCTTTTCCCAGATACAGTGCATATTATTGAATTGGAAACAATGACCCAATTCCCTCATGAATGAAGCAATTGATCCAGGAAATGTGTTCCAGATCCTACCTGCATGTAAGATTTGAGTCTTGTACAAAAAAAAGTTCAATCTATGCCAATCTGTTCTTGATCCTTTTCCTAGCGGGAACAGTTTCTTCCCGTTGACTCTGTCAAGACCTCACGGAATTTTGAAGTATTGCATCAAATTTCCTGTTGTCTTTCTCCTCTCCAAGGACATCTGCTCCAACTTCTCTAATCTAACTTCTTACCTGAAGTTGCTCATCCCTGGAATCATTCTCATAAACCTCTTCTACATACTGCCAATGCACTTACGTTCTTCCTTAAGTGTGGCAACAGATCAGGAGACAATATTCGAACCAAGGTCTAACTCGTGTCTTATACAAGTTCACTGTGACCTTGTCGCTCTTATACTGCGTGAACCCATCGATGAAGCCTGTGTTACGGTCT